CGTAGAACCACCGCTTTATTCTTCACCTGATGCCTGTAAATCCACGCAAAGATCTTTGGCCGGAAGGGGTCAGCACTGCAGTATGTGATACGGTTGAGGGAATAAAGGTGGACGGGCTTCTTTTTGCCACCTTTATCCACCCCCATGCGAATTCCGTGTGGCCCGACGCTGAGCTTCATCTTGGCGCTCTGTTCGCCGTAGTTGCTGCGAGTCCAAATCTTAGCCACCGCCTCCTGCATGCAATCCTCGCCTTTAGCCATGATGGTGACTGCGCTGCCCAGGTAGCGCACGTTGTAGGTGGGTTCCTCTTTGTTGAGCTCCACTTTCTGGCGTTTGCTGTGGAAAACGCTCCCCAGCCATTGAAACGGGCAGTCGGGAACAAGGTCCGGACAGGAGTGGAGCAAAGTCGAAAGCAGGGAATGATAAGTCAGTCCGGCTCCAAGACTTTTCGGCTTGCTTTTGGACTCGTTCTCCACCAGCACAAACTTACTCCTTTTCCAGGGCAACATGATCCAGGCAAAGAGGAAAGGATTCAACACTCTCCCCCAACCAGCAATGAAGAGTGTTCTGGTGTGTGTTTCTCAGAGAAGCACAGCAAAGGAGACTGCTCTGGCACACGCTGACGAGAGACTGAAAGCAGAAAGGCTCAGCTGCTCTGCTCGCTCCTCCTTCCTCTTCCTCCTCCTCCTGCATCACTGAGTGCTGATCAGCGCTGGGCTCGAAGCCTCTGCGGTCCTCATTTAACTCCTTCAAACCCCTGACTGTCTCACCTGATGGTCTGTTGTGCAGACTCTGACCACTGACCCTGAGGCAGAAGTAGAGGGTTCATTCTTGTGTCAGAGTGTCCTATGAGAATGCTTTGACCTGTTGGGAGTCATTTCTATCATCGGTATATACACACTGCCCAGCTCTAATTTATTTCATTCAGCCTCAAGAAAAACACCAGGAAACGACTTTATGTAACGGCTGCAAAAGAAAGAAAGTGCTAGAATAAGCACGTTAACGTTGTTATTAAATGTCCAGGGGAGCGAGTGCGTAGGCTGCAGATTCTGAAATGACTGGAGAGACATTTGCTTCTTGACATTTGAACATGTTCACAATTGAAAGGATGAATCACTTTCTTATCAGCTATAATTTTATTACATTTCAAGCCAAATAATACGGGCTTATATTCATCTTACTTTTCTGCTTCACTATTCAAGTTATTTAAATAAAGACCAAGACTTTCAATAAGAGTTTCCTTAAATGAACAGTTCATCCAAATATGAAAATTATGCTACTCACCCTCATGTTTTCCCAAACCTGTGAAAAGCATGAATTTTTAATATTGTGCAAATTATGCATGGTTTCTCACACAAAGCTATCATTATGGCTTCAGAAGACTTATGGAACACAAATCGTATGGACCACTTTTATAGAGCTTTTGATTGCTTTCTGAAGTCTGAAAGCTCCAGTCCCTATTCATTTATAATTGTATGGAAAAGAGCAATAGTACATGCATTAATTTCTATTTTTGTGTCATCATGAGGGTTTGGAACAACA